GTGGATTCCCACATGGCTGACAACAATTTGAGTCCTGGATCGGATGGCTTGCTTTGTCGTTTTCCCTGCCCCTCTCTCTTTCTCTGGTCAAATTAAAAAAATAATAACAAATGGAATTAAGTAAATAAAAATTATTAAAAAAGAAATGACTTCCATATACAAAAAGTAAATATAATCATTACATGACCTCCCAAAATTGCTTAATTTGCAATTGAGCAAAGTAAAATGATAGTAACAAGCATATAAACACCTAAAAGTCCTTTTCTAAAAGAAAAACTAGTCTTCAAAGGAGCACAGTAATCAAAGAGGAGTTCTTTACAATAAAATTTTAATGAAGGTCCTCAGCTGTGTTTTTCTCAAGTTTCAATGCAATGTCGGGAATGTAATCAGTGTCACGCCCAAACACAGTCACAACAGTCTAATTTATGGTAGACTAACTTTGGAAAGTAATTTTTTTCCCCAAGAAATGTATTAAGCTATATCTAATCCTAAAGAGAGATCAGACAAACTCAAATCGTAAAGACAGCGACAAAATAACTGGTCCTATGATTTGCAAACTGGCAAGATCACAAAAATTGAAAAACCATTTCCCAACAAAAATGAAGAGATATGACAACTAAATACATGTAATTGTGGTAAATATTAATATATCGATATTCATTTCTTATCAATATTCATTTCTTGAATTGATTTCTCTTTGTAGGAAATACATGATAGTGTTAGTTGCATAAAACTGGCCAGCAAGTGGCATGGTCATTAAGATGCTGGATTCTGACATGTCCAACTTGGGTTCAAATCCTGGACCCTACAGCTTAAAAATGACAAGGGGAGCTTCTTGTGTGGGCATGTCCAAAATCCCTCAAGAACAGGAGAGACTACAGCATGGCCATTACCTCCAGGGGCGAGTTCTCACTTTCTTTGCCTCTCTCTGGCAAGTGCACACACTCTGTGTCAAAACCCTAAAAAAAGGGGGGGGGGGGGGCAGCTTATTCTCATAGTGAAATAATAATGAATACAACTAAATAACTCTAAAATTTTTTTTAAGAAGTTCTTTGTACTGTACTTATTTTGAGCTATAAATTGTTCAAGAAAAATTAAACACTGGAGGGTTTATTCATAAGCTAGATTTATAGAGTTCTTAACAGTTAACTAGTAGGAGATAACAAATTTATAGATACAGAAAATAGGATTAATGTTTCCAACATTAAGAACAAATGAATTTCCTGCCAACAATTTCCTGCCAACCCAGGCTTTGCCAAGTACAGGCTGAACATCCCTATCTGAAAATCCAAAATCTGAAACTTTACATGCATTCACATGACACTCTAAGTAGAAAATTCTATACCTGACCTCTGGTAAGGGGTCAGTCAAAACACTGCAGTATGGGAACCAGCAGTTAGCGTAATGGCTATGTCGCTGGACTCCCACGTAGTCGACCGTGGTCTGAAACACTTCTGATACCAAGCATTTTAGATAAGGAATACTCGACCTATATAGGTTTTAATGTTACACAATTAAGTAGGGCTAGTCATTCATAACTCTACTTTGGTAACTTGCAATCTGCTCTATGCTATATTTATTTACACACATGTACCAAAAAACTGGTGCTAAATTCTATACTGAGATTAGAAATGCATTGTTTACTTCATTTAAAACATTTACTAAAAGCCACGTGCCATGCTTGTGCTCGTGAGCAGAATATAGACAGTACGGGGACCAGCAGTTAGTGTAATGGCTATGTCGCTTGAGTCCCATGTAATCAACTGCAGTTCTAGTCCCGGACTCAGTGGCTTACACTCACAACAGGGCGCATGTGTATGTGTGCCCAGGATCCCGAGGAGAATGGAGGATTGCGGCGTGGTCATCCCCCCGGGGGGGTGATTTTTCGCTTTCTCTCTGTCTTTCTGGCAAGCGCACACGCCCAATAGCAAAAAACTCTCAAAAAAAAAAAAAGAAGAATACGGACAGTACTACTGACTACCAATAAATCAAATTATGAAATCACATTAAGATACAAAAGACAGTTGTTAAATAAGAGAAAATAATGTCAATGCTTTACTCTAAATAGATAAAACACAAATCATCTAAAAAAATACTTGCTGAGAGAGTGAGGGGCAGATGGTGGTGTACTGACAGAACACTACACACACTGAGGTTGTCTCACTTGGAAAGGTTCCAGGTTTATGTCTGGAGCTCTCCCTGAGTACACTGGGCCTGTGAGTGCCCATCATCTGGGACTGGATGAAGGCTAGGGGTAGATCTCAGCATAAAGACCCTGTTAGGGGTTGTGGTGTCTCTGTCTCTCAGAATAAATAAATACAATGGAGGAAAAAAAAAAACTTTGCTGCAAGAAACTCCTTGGATCCCCAGTGACTACTTATTCAGGAAAATTTTTCTTCATCTTTGTGTAATTTATTTTTAAGAATTTAAAATTTTTATTATTATTAAACTTGACCAGAGAGAGAGAGAGAAAGCAAGCCACCAGGTCTAGGTCTTGAAGTGTGATCAGTCACATGAGATTCCAGAGCCTTAACCACCAAGCCACCTGCTATTCCCACCTCTATGTAATTTAAAAAGTTGTCAATTATCACATCAAATCAAATGTGAGACCCACATGCGGTATGGTCGTTAAGGTGCTGGATTCCCACATGGCTAATCAGTCCTGAACCCAGAGGTTGGAAATTCATGCAGGACATGTGTGTGTGCATGCCCCAAATCCCAAGAGAATGGAGAAGGGACTGTAGCATAGTCAGCCCCTCTAGGACTGGGGGGGGGGGGGGGGGGGGGGGTGGATTTCTCACTTTCCCTTTAAAATATAAAAAGCAAATTGCTGGTGCCTGTGAGTGGCATAATGGTTCGGGTTCAAGCCTAGGACTTGGCAGCCTGCTATTTTCTCTCACTCTCTGGTGAGTGCATTTGCCCTATAGAAAATTTTTAAAATGGGACAAGCAGTTGGTGTAATGGCTATGTTGCTGGAGTCCCATGTAGTCGACCACGGTTCGAGTCCTGGACCCAGTGGCTTAAACTCACGCCGGACGCATGAGTGTGTGCCCAAGATCCAGAGAATGGATTGTGGCGTGTCCTCCACTGAGGGGTGATTTCTCATTTTCTGTCTGTCACTCTTTCTGGCGAGTGTACACGCCCTATGGCAAAAACCTCTCCAAAAAAGAAAATTAAAAAAATAATAATAAAGTTAATTAGTTCTTTAATACTGGATTGTGTAAGATCGATATGAGCACCACCTCTGTAGCTGTATGTCCCATGGCCAACCACACCATTTGAATCCCAGACCAGTGGCTTGAGAAGCACACCAGGAACTTGTGTTTGTGGTCAAAATCCCAAAAGGAGGGAAGAGTGACTGCAACACGACCACTGTCCACGGTGGATGCTTTCTCCTCTCCCTTTCTGGAAAACCGATGCACCCTCTAGCAAAAAAAAAAAAAAAGGCTGATATCATGGCAAAGAAGTTGGTACAAACTCAATTAAAGGCCTCAGAACCTATAAAAATGTTAAAGTTAGACTGAAATAGAAATAGAAAAACTTTAGAGCCAGTTAACAACCTACCTGTTTACAACAGCTCAGACTTAGACCCGGTTCTCCAACTTGGGAAATCCGGTCTCAGTGTTTCCCACAGTCCCTTAGTATTCACACAATCATGCAAGACTACATATTTTGTTTATAAACATGTACTTTACTGTGCCTCCATAGTAGTATTTAGAACAAATACAGACAATTAGTGCAGATATTATTATGCTGTGGTGTTTTTTGTCATTTTCTGGTGCTTATCTAATGCGTGTTTTTGGGTTTTTTTTGCTATAGGGTGTGTGCGCTTGCCAGAGACAAAGACAGAGAGACAGAAAGCGAGAAACCACCCCCCAGGGAGGATGGCCATGCTGCAATCCCTTCTCCCCCGCCTTCCTCTTGGGATCTTGGGCATGCACACACATGCGCCTGCGTTAGTTTAAGCTGCCAAGTCCGGGACTCGAACCACAGTTGACTACATGGGAGTCCAGCTACATAGCCATTACACTAACTGCTTGTCCCTAATGCATGTTTTTTATATGGATAGAATTACGTTATTCTAATATGCTGTCAAGTGCTATCTAATGAAAAATACATACCCTGTGACACCACAACACACTACAAATCATTCTCCTTTAAGCTCCTCACTTATTGATCAACCTGCTTAATTACCTAGCAGTAGGAACTGAACTTGGTCATTACGTGAGAAGTGCCACTATCTCAATTTAAGTGTAGACTTAAGGCCCAGGGTCAGCAGGTGGCATGGTGGTTATGGCACTAGACTCCCACATGGCTGATGCAGTTCCAGTCCCAGACCTGGCAGCTTGCTTTCTCACCCCCCCCACCCCCCCACCCCCCGGTCAAATTAAAAATAACCATAAAGAGGACTGGTGGGTGGCAATGTGATTAAGGGCACTGGATTCTCACATGGCCTACCACACAGTTCAGGCCCTGGACCTGGTGGCTTGCTTTCTCACTCTCTCTCTCTGTTCCTCTCTGGTCAAATTAAAAATAAATAAATAAAATTAAATAATTCTTTTTTTCCCATTTTTAAAATTTTATTCATTCACTATACATCACTACAGCATACATAATGAGATTTCCCATTCAGCATACACTGTATATTGGCTCAATCAAGCACATCAACTTACGTGTTATCAACAAAAATTTTCCATTTGTTTCCTGTAAAATTAAGTAACTCTTAAAAAAAAAATGAATTAAGGTCCGTACATATGCCAAGATGCTCCATTCCAAACGTGAACCAACAATTTAGGATGCCACAAAAATAAATAAATAAACGGAAGGAGAAAGGTAAAAACTGGAATCAGGTAAGAGAAATGTTAAATTAAGATGCAGGTCTAGGAATGAGGTCTAGGAATATTCCTGGACCCAACAATTAAGTCCAATCTGCTATAACAGAATTACGTTATTCTAATGTGATGTCACGTGCCATCTAATGAAAAATACATACCCGGTGACACTACAACACACTACAAATCCTCCTCCTTTAAGCGCCTCACTTATAGACCAACCTGATTAATTATCTAGTTGGTGGTGTTTTTTGAAATGACAGTGCCTGACAAATACTATTTTGCAGACTTTAAGCTGGAATTCTCTGCATATCCATAACTGTGCCATCATAATATAATACTGTTCTTTTTTTTTAGGGGGGGGTTGCTATAGGGCTGGTGCATTCACCAGAAAGATACAGACAGAAAGCCAGACAAAGCGAGAAATCACCACCACCACCACCACCACCCACCCACCCCCTTCGTCCCCCAGGGGAATGGCCATGTCGCAATCCCTTCTCCTCCATTCTCCTCTAGGGATCTTGGGCATGCACATGCCCCTGGCGTTAGTTTAAGTCCAGGACTTGAACCACGGTCCACCACATGGGAGTCCAGTCATTATGCCAATTGCTGGTCCCTATAATACAGTTCTTAGACATGCTTTAACTTTTTCTTCAGTATCCCCTCTTCCTCTTCTAATAGGAACGAAACAAAACATTGTATTCACTCAGAATATGTTCAACATACCCTTGGTGCTGGTCATTTCTTCAAGTTGTTATATATATCTCTGCTTTATCTGGGATTTTTAGGAATAATTGTAGCATATTTCCCATAAAGAGGAGATATAAGATAAAAGCATATGAATATCTTAAAAGAGACTTTTAGGATCATCAGGTTATTCAAGCGAGAAAATTACTAAAATCTAGCCCTTGATTGCTAGTCCTGACATTCATGTAATAGCCATTAATGACTTTTTCTATTGAGAAACAAGTTATCAAGATAGGATTCTTCTTGACAGATAACAATAATTTCAAAGTTAACTATAGTAATTTCGATGGTCTTCGAATTTTACAAACATAAGAAAAATCTTGCAGTACCTATAAAACTGGTGGGGAGTAAAAGACTGAAATAAGAAACTCATAAGGAGGGAGAGGCATCAAACATACACGAAGCTGAAAATTTTCAACTGAAGCTTCTTTCTTACAAAAGGCTTGTTACAAGTACTCTTGTGGCCGGAAGGTAGCGGCGGTGATTAGGGCGCTGGACTTCCACATGGCTCACCAGTTCCAGTCCTTACCCTGGTGGCTTGCTTTCTCACTTTCCCTTTCTTTCTCTAGTCAAACTAAAAATAACAACAAAATTTTAAAAATTCTTAAAAAAAAAAAAAAAAAAAAACCTCTTTTAACTACTTGGTAATCATTAGTTCTTCTCTATAAAAACATACTAAATGGATTAACGTTTACAGTACTAGCTCTTAGTAGTCTTTTTTTTTTTTAAAAGAAGGGTATGTAGATCAAGGTTTGTTTTAAAGTCTTATTTATTCATTTATTTATTTTAATTTGACCAGAGAGAGACAAACACACACACATACAGAGGAAGTGAGAAAGAAAGTTACCAAGTCTGAGACTTGAATCGTGGTCAGCCATGTGGGAGTATCCAGCGCTTTAACCATTATGCCACCTGCTGGTCACCGCTCTTAGTAGTCTTAATTCTTTGCTCTGATATTCATCCCAGTGAAAACGTCACCTCTCTTCCCTAGTATTGACTTTCTCCCTCTCATTTTCTTCCCCGAAGTGCCCCTCTAATGTGCTGAACAGCTAATCTCAGTTACATAGTAAGTACCAAAACGAATTAGTCTCTATTCATCTGTATCCCTAAATAGAAGAGTACTTGTACTGTTTCCCAGCACCTGGCTCCCGGCCTGTTCACTTAATTCCTCGCACGTAGTGAAATACTTTAAAGAAAACAATATACCCTGTAAACACGCCGGTCCCACTTTTCCTTAATCATTTGATGTGAAAGCACTGCCAATGAGGTAGATACGTGATCCTCTAAAGTAACGACAATCAAACACAATTATTTTCATAACTTATTTGTCATTCTTTTTAGCACTGGTATTCAAAGGGCCAGTGCGTAAGAAAGCTGCTGTATGTCAATGCGACCTAATCAGGACACCAAAGATTTAAACGAAAACAAATCCCTGCAAAGGCAAGCTCTTGCTGTGCTCGTCTCCTTCGTTGATTACGTATCCAGTGCCCAATCCCTAGAACCGCCAGCATCTGTGTATCTTGCCAGGCGTGCTCAGGGTGCGGGGAACCCAACCATGTCCCTCGCACCCTAGCCCCTGTACTCTCCAAAGTTTCCGAGCCTTAACTAACGATTAATCACTCAACGTGGCGCGACCTTGTATGTCTCCTCCGCGACCCCAACCCTGCTCCCGGCCCCCTCCGGCAGCTCCCCCCGGCCGCCCTTCTTCCCGCCCCAACGGTCCTCAGGCCCTGGTCTCACCTCTCCACCCACTCTCTCAGGAAGCGCATCTCCTCGGTGTGCAGAACGGTCGGATCCTGCTTACACATTTTCACGAAGGCCCGGAGCTCGCTCACTTTGCGGGGATCCATGGCTGGGAAGCGGCGAGAGGAAGGGAACGCGGCTGAGGAGGCTGGAGCCAAACACCAGGCCAAGGCGCTGGCTCAGCGTGACCGTGTACAATGGGGCGGCAGCCGCGAGGCAGAACAGACCAGAAACTCCCCGGCCCCGGGCGC